ATCAAGGTCCTATAATGCCTAACGTATATACCAATTTCAAACAAAATCCATCTGTAAACAGCTGAAAAATGCTTGATTTTGATGATTTTTAGCACAAAAATGGCCGCCATTCGGCCATCTTGAATCAGATCGTGAAACAAATTGACGTGCATATGTATAATATCATGTATGATGTATGTGTGAAGTTTGATTGTGATTGGTCCAGGCATTTCTAAGATACAGGTCCGGACGCACGCACGCATGCACCCACGAACACGGAAGTCAAAACATAAGTCCCTGTTTTCGGACTGCGTCTGAACTGACGAAAAATAGGGTTGTTGCTGTGTAAGATTAAAATAACATTAATGGTTTGTGGCCACTATTTTGATATATCAACCTTGAAATTAATTGTCACCTGCACCATATATCGGCAACAATTATTAAATATTATTTAATTTTTTTCCAAATATCAATTTCAGAACAGCAACTCAAAAGATGAATGTACCCAACGTTAGGTTATTAACATGATAGGTGAAAGCACATAGTGTAGCATTATGCTGATTCAAGTCTTTTAGTTTAGTAAGGTCATAGGTCATTTAAGATACAAAGTTACAAACATAATACCTATAGACAATTCTTTACTGCATCTACATAAATTTTCTTTTTTTGGTTTAAAATGCAATAAATGTTGAAATCCTAAATATTGATATAAAGTTACTAAAATATTGTAGTAGCACTTAATAGAGTTATGTCTGCACAATGACATTGGAAACAGGAGAACACAGACACAACCTAAAACATAATTTCCTTTCTGAAGGAGAACTTTCATCAAGACTCCATACATTACAGACTAATGGTTTTTAAATTGGCATGATACATCAGTGTACAGTTACATGACACAAGAAGTCATTGTGTACAGAAAGAATAGTCCCATTAAACAAAGGTCAATACAGTCACTACTAGGTTACCCAATTCCAATCTCCCTGTTCCAGTCAGTTGATTTGAACAAAAGAGCATCAACACTTTGAGAAGCCAATTATGTTTTGGTGAAGTGCTACAAATGTTACACCCTACATAGAATGTGTAACTTTACACTTAGTTGGCTTAAAACTAGCTTAGTTTCAAATTCACTACATAACTGTATTCAGCCTAAATATTGGTAATTTAAGAATTGTAGATTTATGATAGGTGAACCACGCTAATAGCGAGCTTGAAAGTTAAGTTACACTTGAACTGTACTGGAATTGCGCTAAAGTTCAACACTTGAATTATTGTTTGTATTATAAACCCTACAATTTACAAATCTATAAAGACCAGAATTTTCAAACACAAACTTGCTGCCAGTTAAAGATTACCATGCGAAAGCACTGTTCTGATTTTCTAATTTGGAAGGAGCAAGGATCCCCTAAGTCGGGCCCATTTTTTGAAATTATGCGCAAGTCTAGAGCCCAATTTAAAAGGCAACTTGTCAGATGTAAAAAGCTTAGAGCCAATGCTTTGGCGGAGAGTCTTAAAAATGACCCTGTCGATTATTGGAAAAGAATTTCCTTACGAAAAACAAAATCGACACCATCTACTACTGTCGGTGGTTGTACTGGTGACATTGCTGTGTCAGATATGTAGCAACGTCATTACAAGTCTATACTTACTAAGCCAGGTGCGGATTTTAATATTGAAATTCCCACTTCTGATTTTACTACAGATATGTTAGTTTCCCCGGAAGAAATTTCGAATATGATAAAAGAGTTAAAATCAGGAGTTCTCCAGGTATTGATGGTATTAGTACCGAATTTTTTAAATATGCACCCCCTAGGGTTTATGTTTTGCTATCCCTTTGTTTTTCTGCAATTTTGATTCATGGTTTTGTACCTAATCAGCTTATGTCTACTGTTTTAGTCCTCATTCCAAAAGATCCCGGGGACGATATCTGTGACCAGTCTAATTATCGTCTATTTTCGTTTTAAAAGAAGTTTTGTCATATTATAAGAGATTGAATACACCTGTTTTTGTTACGTTTATGGATGCCTCAAAAGCATTCGATTATGTTCGTCATGATATTCTTTTTGAAAAGTTATTACTTAGGAGTATTAAGACTTATTTAATGAAAGTTATTACTTAGGGGTGTTAAGACTTATTTAATGAAAATTTTAATTTTTTGGTACAAGCACCAAACATTTGTTGTTAGATGAAATAATTGTTTTTATGATGTTTTTCATTCAACAAACGGTGTGAAACAAGGTGGGATCTCTTCACCTATATTGTTTACAGTTTATCTTGATAACCTCAGTAATGAACTATCCTCCCTTCCATTTGGTTGTTTAATAGGGAGTCAGAGAATTAATCATTTATTTTACGCTGACGATATTGTAGTATTCAGTACAGGAGCGTATGGTCAACAATTACTAGTTGATACTTGCGGACGGTATGGCAAACTTAACTCTATCTTTTTTAATGAGAAAAAAAACGTATGTATGTTAATTCAGCCTCGTTTTCGAAGGTTAAGGAATGTGTCAATTTATTTAAGTGGTAGACTACTTGATTACGTCACTGTATATAAATATCTGGGACACTTGATCACTAGTGACCTTAATGACAATGTTGACATTCAGGCCAAATCTCGTCTCTTTTATGTGAGAGGCAACGCAATTATTCGCGATTTTAAATTTCCTTAGCTGTTAAATGTCATTTATTTTGTGATATTCCATATTGTGCATTTTTGTGGTCTAATTTTACACTTTGTAGTTTTAACACTATTAGGAGAGCACACTCACTTGTGTTTCGTAAATTATCTGGGTATTCACATTCTGTTGTACAGAGTAATAGGGCAGGGTTTGTTAATCTTTATATTAGATCTTTTGATGAAATTCTTCGGAAAAAGACATTTAGCTTTATGAGTAGACTGCACCTTTCATCTAACCCCATTGTAACAACAACATTGTACATTTCAATTCATTCCCAGAGTTTAATATGGAAATTATGGATTTTTTGACTTGTATTTTTTTTGCTATGTATTTTTTATGATCTGAAATAAACACACTCCTGTGTGCTGATGTGTATTGGATATACATTAAAAATTAATTCAAAATTACTTGAAATATTGATAGACAAGCAGCCTGTCGGCTGAGATAGCTCTGCTGTTAGCAGTGCATATTTCAATTAAAGAACAGAAGATATCATTAGCAAATGAACAATATGTATAGTAATTCAGTGTTCTCCACAAGGGGTTTTAGGCGGGCGGCCCGCCCATCAAGTTTTACGGCCGCCCAGTAACTCTCAACACCCGCCCACCAACGTACATCCAGCTGAAATTATTTGTAAAAAGCTTACATTGTTCTTCCCAAGCCTAAACAAAAGAGTAGTTGCCCAACCCTTTATTTTGCTATTGTTTCAACAGTCCAAACATAAACAATGTCCATTGGAAGTCTGCAAGCAGTTATCAAGTGTATTCATGGCAATGTGTCAATCGCTTGAATTCATTGTCGCCAGACATTGTTGCCACTTATTGCTCACGATACGCAACTACAGTGGTTTCAATTTACAGCTGTATTTTTAATAATCGTCTTCCGATCACGAAAGAAAGAAGTAAATACGAACGAAATGTATATGCACAGAAAATAAACAAATATATTAGCAGATTGCATGTAAACTCGAACAAAAATTTAAATTCTAGCCGTATTTACAACGTTCGCTCGATTTTCATTGTGAAAACAGCATGGAGAAGGCAAACTGATGACCTTTTGGCCTACCCCATTCAACGACCGTCTGCTACCCACCGCTGTTGGCGCTGTAACGATTTAGTATCTAAGTTGCATAGGGGAACAGCGCATTCTGGGTGTTCGTGTACTGAATTCGGAAAGCGGTAATAAACATCAAACATGGCTGCTGGATTAGTTTACCGCGAGTATTTGTAATTGAATAATATTTTAGTTATCTTTTCCA